CTGTGGGAGACTGCCCCCTCACCTGGCCTTTCCTGCTGTGTGTCTGTCGGTGCCACCCTGACCTGGAAGGACCTAGGCCTTGGGACTTTCTGTGGCTCAGGTCAGGGCAGCTACCTCCAGGGGAGGCCCAAGTCTCCTGGACTCTGCTGCCTTTTGTCCAGCCTGGATGTTGCCTGGACTCTATGGGCCATGGTGGTGTGGCCGTGGGATGTACGGGATGCCCAGGCTACGGTGGGCAGGAGCAGCGCCACGGCAGGCCAGGAGTCGCCCTCCAGCGCCTGAGACTGCAAGTGCCTGGCTAGGAGCCCTGTGGAGCCGGCTGGGGCTGGAAGGTGGCTTCCTCTGGTGGCACAGGCCTTCCTGCCCCTGGGGTGACCCACAGAGCACTGAGGAGGAGGTCAGGGATGGTGCTGAAGGCAGCGGCTCCCTTGACTTCCTCCCGACAGCCTTCCCTGACCCCCTCTGTCTTGTCTTCTTGTGGATGACAGCCCCCCATGGCATAGGGAGGAAACTGTTGGGGAGCTGGAAGCGCCTGCCTGAGGTGGCCTTGATGGGACCACAGGGCTTGAGGAGGGAGGCGTTCCTTCCCGAAGTGGCCTTGTCTTGCCCTGACCCCCATCCCCACCGGGACTGGGCCTTTCATCATCGCAGGGCTGGTGAGGTGGGGGCAGGTGGTGGGGTCGATGTGCAGCAGCGATAGAAGCTCCGGAAGCTGCTGGCTGGGTTTCACGCACAGCCTGTGGGAAGGTGGGTGGGTCCCGTCTGGCCGTGTCGGACGGTGCCTCGGTGCAGAACCATGTGCTTCCCACCCGCTGCCAGTGGAGCTCTGTCCACTTCTGGCACTGGAATCATTGGTGTGTCACCTGCATGCGCACATGCGGTTTTGTGTATACCTCCATGTCTTAGACGAGAGCCCATTCATTCAGAGGCTACGAGGTGAGGTCTCCAGGGGTTGGTCTGGCCTCTGCCGCCGGCTTCCAGTGGACTCGTGGCTTTCCCTGAGCAGCCTGCATCTGTGGCTGGGCGCTGGGAGGAGAGGTGACGGGAACTCACATCGTCCCTATCTAAGTGGGCCCCTCGCTCCCTCACAGGCAGGCTGCGCAGGATGCAGAGACCCTGGGCTGAGACCTCAGGAGCGTTGTGGGCAGGAGGCCCTATAGTGAGCTCAGGCCCTGTCCAGGTTCCTGCACGAGGAAGCCTCTGGGCCCTGCTGGGGAGAGCTGGGTGCTGAGCTACCTGCCCGGGCCCAGAGGTCATACAGAACCATAGTGTTTCCGTCCCACGAGCCCTTGAGTTCCTGGAAGAGTGAGCACCCGAAAGGGTCTGTTCATCCCTGCCTGGCCTGGGCCAGGCCAGACTCACTCAGGCGTGGAGGACAGTGTCTGACAGGAGGACTTGGGGATTTGGGTAGGTGAGGCCTTTTGGGGCCAGAGTTGGCCAGATGAGGAGAAGCAGGAACACCACATGGAAAGTTCTGGGGGCAGGCTACGAGGTGAGGTCTCCACCAGAAACAGAAAGTTCCATTTGGAGTGAGTGTCGTCACAGGCTGAGAGAAGACAGCCGGGGTGGGGCCCTCGATAGCCTTAGACCTTGCCCCCAGGCCAGAGGGGCCCTGAGTGGATTCCAGGTGGGAAGATACTGTGATCTGACTTCTTAGGGGCACTGGGGGAGGCCATCCAGGTGTCCCGCATGGATCTGTCCAGGAACCTGGGCAGTGGGGCAGGGCTGGGGAACTGATACGGTAGGAGGGGCTTGGCTCCTGCCAAGTCCTGGTGGGGGCCTTGGGGCACCATTGCAGTGTGAGTCTGTGACTTTGCAAGGCCCCCATTTCTCCAGCCTCAGTTAGCTCTCCTGAAACTGGCGTCGCTCGGAACCGCCCTTGAGCCATCCTAGCAGGACCCAGGTTCCCCATCCCCCACCCCTCTTCACCCACCACACCCAGCCTGTAGTGTGTCCCTGTCGGTTGATGCTTCTTGAATGAATGACTGAGTCAGGGAGCATAGAGAAGCTTCCAGAAGGGAGGTAGGCCGGGGCAGGAGGAGGAGTAGCTGGGCTTTGGCTGTGTCTGGTGCACAAGGAAGCCCCACCTGTTCTGAGCTTTGCAGGTAAAGAACCCCAACCCTGACCAGGGGGAGCCCCAGTCAGCCACTCCTGAGCCAGGCCCACAGGCAGAGGATAGGAGCCAGTCTTCCTTATGGACCCACACTGGGGGCTGCACCTACCGCACTGCCCTTGCTCCTGGGGGAAGGATTGCCTGGGGTCAGGGGAGATCCTGCCTGGAGGCTGGACCGTTTCCATGCTGTGTCCCTTCCTGGTGTGGTGCAGTGTGCAGGCCGGGTGGGACTGCGGCCTGTGTGGGGTGGATGCTGCACCCAGCTCTGCAGGGCCTCCTGCCGATCTGAGACCCCACTCCCAGGACTGGGCCAGGTGGCCCAGTAATAACCTGCCCCCTTCTCTGCAGGATGGGGACAAGTTCTGGCGGATGCCCGAGTGCTACATCCGCGGCAGCACCATCAAGTACCTGCGCATCCCCGACGAGATCATCGACATGGTCAAGGAGGAGGTGGTGGCCAAGGGCCGAGGCCGCGGAGGCCTGCAGCAGCAGAAGCAGCAGAAGGGCCGCGGTATGGGCGGTGCCGGCCGAGGTGGGGCTCCCATCCCAGCGGACGCACCTGGGGCAGGAGGGCAGCCACATGAGGCATTCCACTTCATTGGCCTTCCTGGCTGGTGCCCTTGAAGCACTGCCTTGGAGCCTCCCGACCTTCCCAGGCCTCCTCCTGGTCCTTGGCCATGAGCCAAGGCCCAGCCGGAGGAGCCCCGAGACCCGGGACTCCGCCCTCCTCTCATTGCACCTCCCCCAGCCTCAGTTTCCCCTCTGCAGAGGGTCTGGCAGTGCCCACCTGTCCAGCCACTGGCAAAGATTTACTTGGGGCCTGGTGTGGGGCCCTTTCCCTGCCGTGGCTCCATCCAAAGCCAAGGTTGCCCGCCCCCACCAGAGAGGATGAATTGGGCGTAAAATGCCATCTGTTAGGCCCAGGGGCCATCTGTAGCCCCTGCCCCTCCTCACCTCTCCCTCCAACTCTGTGTTCTCAGGGGGCCTGGGCTTTGTTTCTTCAGTGGATACTGCCTGCGTGCTGGGCTCAGGGGCCGGCCTGGGGGTTTGTGGCACAGCATGGCCGCCCCCAGAAGGCCCCAGGCACCAGCTTTGAATGCAGGCTCTCGAGGTGGTCAGGAGTGAGCCCAAGGGAGGGGCGGCGAGGAGCTTTGGGGGTCTCAGGGTGGGTGGGGCCTCTGGGGTCCCAGGCCTGGCTCCTACGCAGCACTTGGGGTCAAGGTTGTTGAGAGAGTAGGTCGGGTCCTACCTAGGGAATCTAGGGGCTTTTGCTGGCTGCTCTGGAGGAAGTCATGGGGCCATGGATTCAGACAGCAGCCTCACGGGCCCCCACCAGGCCATGTGCCCTGGCACAGCTGGTCCTGCCTGGGCGAGGGGAGGTTGGTGGCCCCAGGCCATCGTTGGCCTCAGCTCTGTCCCCACAAGACCTGGTGGTCCCTAGCTGGTGAGAGCCTCGACCTCTTGGATCCTCTGAACCTGGACTTCACGGGGTTGAGGTCTGCAGAGATGGTGATTCCAGCTCCTGTGGATGTGTCAGTCCTCCTGTGGATGTCAGTCCTCCTGTGGATGTGTCAGCCCTCCTGTGGGTGTCAGCCCTCCTGTGGGTGTCAGCCCTCCTGTGGATGTGTCAGCCCTCCTGTGGATGTGTCAGCCCTCCTGTGGGTGTCAGCCCTCCTGTGGATGTGTCAGCCCTCCTGTGGATGTCAGCCCTCCTGTTGATGTGTCAGCCCTCCTGTCGATGTCAGTCCTCCTGTGGGTGTCAGCCCTCCTGTGGATGTGTCAGCCCTCCTGTGGATGTCAGTCCTCCTGTGGGTGGGTCAGCCCTCCTGTGGATGTGTCAGTCCTCCTGTGGGTGTCAGGCCTCCCGTGGGTGTCAGGCCTCCCGTGGGTGTCAGGCCTCCCGTGGATGTCAGGCCTCCCGTGGGTGTCAGTCCTCCCGTGGGTGTCAGGCCTCCTGTGGGTGGGTCAGCCCTCCTGTGGATGTGTCAGGCCTCCTGTGGATGTCAGGCCTCCTGTGGATGTCAGGCCTCCTGTGGATGCTGAGCCTCCTGTGGGGCTGCTTGGAGGCCGGAGCTATGCTGCCTGCGGTGCTGGCCTCTGGCACCCAGCACGTGGGCCTCCTGCTGTTCGAAGCTCCAGCTTTGATTTCCTCAAGCATTAGTCCAGCTAGAAAGTTCTCAGAAATGGCTCCCTAGACGGGGGTCACAGCTGGGATCCCTGAGGGAGAGGGAGAAGGAGGGATGGTGTTGGGTCCCTGCCCACCCAGCCTGCTGCACTCAGGCCTGGCCTGTGGTGGGGGTGGCATTGGGGGTACTGGGCACACGGAGGGTGTGGGGACGAGTCCCCTGCCTGCAGCCTGCTCAGGATTACTGTAGGTGCCGCCGTAGCGTCCACTCAGTGAGTCCCTGTGCGGGGCCCTCATCTCCCGGGACCTCCCTGGGTGGGGAGGTGCTGGACACCCAACACACACACATCTCCCCAGCGGCAGTGTGTTTCCACCTCAGGGGCTTCATGGAAAATCATTTGGTCTCATGGTCTCCTGTCCCTGTGCCTGGGGCTGGATACCTAATAACCCCTCTTCCTGTTTTCCTCCTGGCAGGTGGATGAGGGGCCGTGGGTGGTTCTGGAGCATGGGAGGCCCCCATGCAGCCCCCAGCCTGGCCTACTGCCCCGTCTCTGCTCCACCCCTCTCCCATCTCCCCCTCCTCCAGGAAGCCCTTCTGGCTTTGTCCTTTAGGAAGCCTGTCCCAACTGGGCTGTGTGACTTAGTGCCCTGTGCCACCTGTTCCCACCCTGCAGCCCTGGGGAACTGGTTCTAGTCCCATAATGAGGATGCCCTGGAGTGCCTGCTTTGCTCAGATTTTCCACCCCGAGGGGCAGATCAGGGACACCCTCAGCCCCCATGTCACACAGGAGGAAGCTGAGGCTGGAGACTTAGGTGACCTGGCCTAGCGTTTCCTAGTGTTGGGATCCCGTCGAAGGTCCCACCCACCTGGCTCAGCTGCAGCCCCCTCTCTCTGTCCCACAGGTGTGTTTGGTGGCCGGGGCCGAGGCGGGATCCCAGGCACAGGCAGAGGCCAGCCAGAGAAGAAGCCGGGCAGACAGGCGGGCAAACAGTGAGCGCCCACCCTCCAGGACCATGGTTCCACTCCACAGATGGATGGATCTGCTCAGAAAGGAAGAGGCGGGCCTCAGGCAGAATCCCCCTCAAGTTTGTGACTCTCCCTATTTGGTGAAGCCCCTTTTTCTTGCTACAGCCGACAGTTCTCTGGTTGGAAATGTTTGGTGTTTGGTTTTGTGAAGCGGCCATCCAGAGCTGGCTGGATTCTGGAAGATTCTTTGTTGAAAGTATCTTTCAACCTCGCTCTGGTTCTCAGGGCGGCATTTTCCAGAGGGGTTTGTTTTGAGTTTCTCGGAGCCACTCGGAGCCTCTCGGAGCAGCGAACAGACGGGAGATTTTTATTTTAAGCGGTCGTCACTGGGATTGACAGCCTGGAGAGTTTCCTTGAGCGCGGCCCCAAAATTGCCTTTCAAAACAAACCTGGGGACGGACGAATGCTTTAGAGACCGTGCAGGGGACGCACGTCCCGGGCCCTGGCCCTTCGCTTCCTCTCTCGTGTTACAAAAATAAAAATAAACAAAACTACACACTGCGCATCTGACATTCCTTTTGAGCCTCTGGGCGCACCTAGCGGGTCTCCCGCCCTCTTTCCATGGCTGGGCTCTCAGGAAACGGCCAGCCCAGTAAGGGAAGCTTCCTTTTGAAGGTTCTCACCAGGCGTCAGCGTCACAGTGGGGCACTGAAGGACATCAGTACCGGCATCTGGATAGTGGGGGCTCCTGAGGGTCCCTGGTGACCCCCGTGCCAGGTTGTCCTGTAACCCCTTCCCCTCTGTGGAGATACTAATGCTGGGGGTGGGAAGTGCCGGGCAGGGGCCAGGTGTGGTCCCCATCACCCCCTCCCGGGTGGCCTGGGCTCCATCATCTGTCCCCGTCTGTCCACACTAGCGTTCACGCAGAGAAGACTGGGGACAGAAATGCCCGTGGAAGAGTCACGAGGCTGCTGCCCCCTTTCTGAGCCAGGCTGGGCTTGTCAGGGGTGCCCTGAGATGCTGAGTCAGCACTTTGGGGAAAAGTTCCTGGTAGCATCTGCAGAGAGGGAAGGAGCCACAGGGAAGCCCAGAGGCACTCGGCAGCCGCCAGGGCTTCTCCAGTCTGAGTTATTTGCCATCGGACAGATTATGCATTTACAATTTCCCAGCCTGGGGCCTGGGATGCTCCCCTTGTGGGTGGGTGGGGGGACTGGGATCGATATCTGCTGTCACCTGCTCTCTGCTGTGGTGACACAGCGGCACTTTATTGAGGGTTAGATATGGGGCATGTGGGGTCCGAGCTGCGGCCTCCCCTGAGCCTCACAAACCCACCCCCTCAACACAGGCAGGGGCCGCAGTTGGGGGCTCAGGCCTGGGGCCTTGGGATGCAGGGGTCCACCTGCCTGCTGGATAAGAGCATTTGTTTCTGAGATGCAGTCTCACTGCTGCCAGCTTGGCTCGCTGCAACTTCCACCTCCCGGGTTCAAGCGATTCTCTTGCCTCAGCCTCCTGAGTAGCTAGAGTAGCTGGGATTACAGGTGTGCACCAACATGCCTGGCTAATTTTTGTTTGAGATGGAGTCTCATTCTGTTGCCCAGGCCAGAGTGCAGTGGCGCAATCTCACTACAATCCTCTGGGTTCAAGCGATTCTCCTGCCTCAGCCTCCTGAGTAGCTGGGATTACAGGCGCATGCCACCACACTCGGCTAATTTTTTTTTTTTTTTGTATTTTTAGTAGAGATGGGGTTACACCATGTTGGTCAGGTTGGTCTCAAACTCCTGACCTCGTGATCCGCCTGCCTCGGCCTTCCAAAGTGCCGGGACTACAGGTGGGAGCCACTGTGCCCTGCAGAAAGGAGCATCCAGGGTGGGCCGGGCAGGGGGCTGGCCTCACAGGGCCGGGTGGGTGGGGCAGTCTCAGGGAAGGAGGGAAGGAAGGGTGGGGAGCAGGGAGGCCCCATTTGCAGCTCCCGCCCCTGGTCCTAGACTCACTGGCTCTTAGAGGCCTCTGGGGCTCTGCTTCAGGAGGCCTGGGCCCCTTCCTCCCAGGGGTCGTGTCTGTCACGAGGCATGGATGAAATCCAGGAGCTTGGGTCAGGTGTCCTGGGAAGCTGGGACGGGAACGCCCTTGGAGGCCCCTTCCCCTTCCTGCTGATCTGTTTGGTTTTTCCTCCCTGACCAGACTCTGAACCCAGAATGTTTTCCAACGCCGCCAGGTGCCTTCTTACCATTCAGGGTCCCGGGCTCCCAAACTGCCGGGTCTTCCTTTGCGAGGCCTAATCCCCGGGCTCCCAAGCCTGCGTAATTGCGGCTTCTCGCCGGCACAGCTAGACGCAGAGCCAGCTCTGACCTTTCCAGCCTGGCAGCTGCAGGCTCCAGGCCCAGTCCCTCCTGGCCTGTGACTTGAGCTGCAAAGTCCCCTCGCCTGCCTCCGCCAACTTGGCCTCGTAGGCTAGAATGGCCCCTGCTTAGGGGCAGCGGACTTCCAGAAGCTTCCAGGCCCCCTCCCTTGAGCTGGGTGTCGGACCAGCTTTGTGCTTCATTCTTCCTGGCTGGTTTCATGAAGCCCCATCCTCAGCCTCTTGAACAAGAAAAGAAACTGAAAGCACCAGTCTAGTTCCTAAATCCAAAGCTTCCAGGTCTTTCTGCCCTCCGACGGTCTGCTGGGCCAGGGGTCCGCACCCTCTCGTCGCCCAACTAGGGCTGACTTTACCACAGATGGTCCCCACCTGCCCCCCACACCTTCTCGCTTGGAGTTTGCTTTCTGTCAGGGAGGCCCCCACCGGCCGCTGTGCTGTGACTCAGCCCAGGGCTAAGCTCTGCAGGGCCAGCCCACCGTCCCCCAGCCAGATCGAGGCCCCGGTCTGCTGCTGACGCCACCTCATCTTGGAGCCAAGCTCCACTTCAGGGACAAAAGTGCAGAGGCTGGCCTTGGGCAGTGGCCCCAGAGAGGCAGCTGTGGGAAAGCAGCCCTCTCTCCTCCTGCCCCTCCTCCTCCCTTCTCTCCCTCCTCTTTCTCCTTATCTTCCTCCCCATCCCCCTCCTCCCCAGTCCCCTCCTCCCCAGCCCCTCCTCCCTATCCTCCTCTCCATCCCCCTCCTCCTCCCTCTCTCCCTCCTCTTCCTCTCCCTCCTCCTCTGGGCTTCACCTGCTGCTCCCAGAGCTACTCTGGCCACCCCCAGATGGCCTGTGTCCCTGTCACATCCCTCCCCACCTTCTCCTGTTGGAGCCCAGGGCCTGGCACAAGCCTGGCACTAGGGCCACTTGGCTTGTCCCAGGTGCTGGTGAAACACCCCTGCAGCCCTTCACTTCCACAGGAGTGAGCCAGCCACAAACATATGCACGTCAAATGCATAAATGCTGTAAAAAAGAAGAAACCAGGTTGGGCGCCGTGGCTTCTGTAAGCCCAGCACTTTGGGAGGCTGAGGCAGGTGGATCACCTGAGGTCAGGAGTTCAAGACCAGCCTGGCCGTCATGGTGAAACCCCCATCTCTACTAAAAGTATACAAATTAGCTGGGCATGGTGGCATGAACCTGGAATCCCAGCTACTTGGGAGGCCGAGGCAGGTGAATTGCTTGAGCCTGGGAGGCGGAGGTTGCAATGAGCCGAGATTGTACCGCTGCACCCCAGCCTGGGCAACAGGAGTGAAACTCCATCACAAAAACAAACAAACAAGGCCAGGTGCACTGGCTCACAATTGTAATCCCAGCACTTTGGGAAGCCAAGGCAGGCGGATCACGTGAGGCCAGAGTTTGAGACCAGCCTGACCAACAAGGTGAAACCCCATCTCTACTAAAAATGCAAAATTTAGCTAGGTGTGGTGGGCGCCGGTAATCCCAGCTACTCAGGATGCTGAGGAAGGAGAACTGCTTAAACCCAGAAGGCGGAGGTTGCGGTGAGCCGAGATTGCACCAGTGCACTCCAGCCTCCTGGGCAACAGAGCGAGACTCCGTCTCAAAAAATAATAATAAATTAAATTTTTCTAATTAATTTTTTTTTAATTTAAGAGTAAGAGGAAGTCCAGTCAAATGAAGTCCCAAGTGGACAAGAAGCTGCTGGCCACACAGAGAGAGCCTGGGACACCCAGGGAAACTGCAATATGGAGCCTCTGAACTTCCATGGGGCAGGGGCAGAGGTGAGGCCAGGGCTTGGTCAGAAGCCCCTACAGGAGTGAGCGCGTGCAGGAATCTCTTTCTGACGTGTGGCATCAGCCACTTTTTTTTTTTCTCGAGACAGAGTCTTGCTCTGTTGCCCAGGCTGGAGTGCAGTGGCACAATCTTGGCTCACTGCAACCTCCGTCTCCTGGGTTCGAGCCATTCTCCTGCCTCAGCCTCCTAAATAGCTGGGATTACAGGCACCCACCACCTCGCCCAGCTAATTTTTGCATTTTTTAGTAGAGACAGGGTTTCACCATGTGGGCCAGTCAGGTCTCCAACTCCTGACCTCAGGCAATCTGCCCACCTGAGCCTCCGAAAGTGCTGGGATTAGAGGCGTGAGCCATCACGACCGGTATTTTTTTTATTTTTTTGAGACAAAGTCTCCCACTGTCGCCCAGGCTGGGGTGCAGTGGCGGGATCTCCACTCACTGCAACTTCCGCCTCCTGGGTTCAAGTGATTCTCCTGCCGCAGCCTCCTGAATAGCTGGGATTACAGGCTGCACCACCATGTCCAGCTAAGTTTTGTATTTTTAGTAGAGACAGGGTTTCACCTTGTTGACCAGGATGGTCTTGATCTCTTGACCTCGTGATCCACCCGCCTGGGCCTCCCAAAGTGCTGGGATTACAGGCTTGAGCCACCGCACCCGGCCTATTTTTCATTTTTTTACAGATAGGGGTCTCACCATGTTGTCCAGGCTGGACTTAAACTCCTAGGCTCAAATGATCCTCCCACTTTAGCCTCCCAAACTCCCGGGATTACAGGCCTGAGCAGTATACCCAGCCAGCCATTGTTCATCTTTCGCAGTGTGCATCAGACAGCTCCGGAACTCACCCATGTGGTGGCATCGTCATTCACTGCTCAGGCATGGAGGATGAGGAACCTCCCCCAGGTCACAGAGCAATGTGTGACCTCTTTCACTGCCTCCTTAAACTTGAAGGATCCACGCTGGGCGCGGTGGCTCACGCCTGTAATCCTAGCACTTTGGGAGGCCGAGGTGGGTGGATCACCTGAGGTCAGGAGTTCAAGACCAGCCTGGCCCTCATGGTTAAACCCCATCTTTTATATATATATATATATATATATATATTATTATTTAAAAAAAAAACAACTTGAAGGATCGATTGACCTCCCAGCTCAGGCACAGTCAGGACCCCAAAACTGATTGGGAATGGGGTGTAGAGGGTAAGCAAGATTGGCTGCTGCTTTAAAACTCACTCCAGGCCGGGCACGGTGGCTCAAGCCTGTAATCCCAGCACTCTGGGAGGCCGAAGCAGGGGGATCACCTGAGGTCAAGAATTTGAGACCAACCTGACCAACATGGAGAAACCCCATCTCTACTAAAAATAGAAAATTAGCCGGACATGGTGGCACGTGCCTGTAATCCCAGTTGCTCAGGAGGCTGAGGCAGGAGAATTGCCTGAACACAGGAGATGGAGGTTGCAGTGAGCTGAGATTGTGTCACTGCACTCCAGCCTGGGCAACAAGAGCAAAACTCCAACTCAAAAAAAAAAAAACAACCTTCACTCCCCTGATTGTAACATCAGATCAGCTGAGGGACAGGATTTGAGGCACATAAATTAGGGGCCTGGAGGGCTTAAGCCCACCGTGGCTCAGTTTCCTCCCCGGTGGCGGTGGGGGAGATAACAGCAGCTGTACCTAATGGGGGCTGTTGGTCAGATTGCATGAAGCGAGGACACCGGTAATCATTTTAGGACTGGCCTGGTATACAGCAAGTGCTCAATAACTGCTTGAAATCCTCTAACAGTGGCATCTCACCTAGCACCTCTGGGGTGTCCAGAACCTCAAAAGGGGAATCTCCATCTTTACAGCTCTGAGGTTGGTGTGAGTGGCTCATTGTCCCCGGGGACCCAGGCAATGGCCCATTGGACTGGCCCATGCCATGCGACTGTCCTCTGTGCCCTGGAGGCCAGCTCAGGAAGCCTGGCCCCAGGCCAGGGACTGTTCACCTCAAAGGCCCGAGATCCTGCCCTGCGAGCCGCCTCCCAGCCTGGGTCTGGCCTCTGCGGCCACCCGGCGGTGACTCACCCCTGCCCCGCCTCCACTGGAACCAGGCACCGAAATAGTCACCCAGTTTGCTCTCGGGAGTGGCCGTGGAAATATTTCAGGGCTGCATTCAGTACCTAAAAATACTCCTCACGTCCTCAACTGTCTTCCCCTCCCTCATCTCCCCTCCTGCACCACCAGGGCCAGACCCTCCACGCTGCACCCCTCCAGCATCAAATAACTCAGAGGTCCTGGCCTCAGAGCCTTCTCAAAGGTCAGCTTCTTCTGAAACTCCCTGAAATCTCAGTTCCCAGGTTGGGGAGGCCGGGGCCCAGTGACATTGTCTGGGGAGAACTTCACTGCCCAGCAGTTTTCCTTTAAAATTAAAAACATGGGCTGGGCGTGGTGGCTCACGCCTGTAATCCCAGCACTTTGGGAGGCCGAGGTGGGTGGATCACGAGGTCAAGAGATCGAGGCCAACATGATGAAACCCTGTCTCTACTAAAAATATAAAAATTAGCCAGGCGTTGTGGTGGGCGCCTGTAGTCCCAGCTACTTGGGAGGCTGAGGCAGGAGAATCACTTGAACCCAGGAGGTGGAGGTTGCGGTGAGCTGAGATCATGCCAGTGCACGCCAGCCTGGCAACAGAGTAAGACTCTATCTCAAAAAAAAAAAAAAAAAAAAATTAAAATAATGGGCTGGGCACGGTGGCTCATGCCTATAATCCCAGCACTTTGGGAGGCTGAGGTGGGTGGATCACCTGAGATCAGGAGTTTGAGACCAGCCTGGCCAACATGGTGAAACCCACCACCACGCCTGGGTAATTTTTGTATGTTTTTTTTTAAATAAAATTACAAAAATTAGCCAGGCGTGGTGGTGGGCTTCTGTAATCCCAGCTACTTGGGAGGCTGAGGCAGGAGAATCACTTTAACCTGGGAGGCAGAGGTTGTAGTGAGCCTCGATCTCGCCACTGCACTCCAGCCTAGGCTACAAGAGTGAAAGAAACACTGTCTCAAAAAAAAATTTAAAAATGGTTCTTGGCTGGTCCCAGTAGCTCACGCACGTAATCCCAGCACTTTGGGAAGCCAAGGCAGGTGGATGGCTTGAGCCCAGAAGCCCAGTCTGGGCAACGTAGTGAGACCCCCACCTCTGCAAAACAAACTAAATGAGCCAGGCATGGGGGTACACACCTGTAGTCCCAGCTGCTGAGGAGGCTCAAGTGGGAGGATCCTTTGAGTTGGGATCTCGAGGCTACAGTGAGCCATGATTGCGCCACTGCACTCCAGCCTGGGCAACAGACCAAGACCCCCTTACACACACCAGAAAAAAATAATCCTTGGCCTGGCACAGTGGCTCACGCCTGTAATCCCAGCACTTTGGGAGGCGGAGGCAGGTGGATCATGAGGTCAAGAGATTGAGACCATCCTGGTCAATATGGTGAAACCCTGTCTCTACTAAAAATACAAAAATGAGCTGGGCATAGTGACATGCGTGTCTATAATCCCAGCTACTGGGGAGGCTGAGGCAGGAGAATCACTTGAACCCGGGAGGTGGAGGTTGCAGTGAGCCGGGATTGTGCCACTGCACTCTAGCCTGGGTCTCAAAAAAAAAAAAAAAGAGTGGGAGAGGGGCATGCAGTGTGCCCTCCAAGACACCCTCATGCCCTGCTGTCCTCTCAGCCTCTCAGCCTCCCTGGTGGTGCTCAACCGCCTCTGTGGCCCCAAGGTGTGGCCAGCTTTGTACTAACCACCAAGCACCTTGACCTTTTCGGTGGCCTAAGGAAGGTGGGGGGAGGAAAGCGTATAGAACTGGCCCTCA